GCGTGTCCGTATGCGCGCTAGGGCACTTAATGTGGCTGGCTAATAGATATATCAATTGGTTTGCTGTATTTTAATAATCGTTTTATTTACTAAATTATTTACGTTTCTGATCCAATAGGGATTAAATCTGGAATCTACCCCAGAATCCCCTATCTGTGTGAGTAGACACACAGTAAAGGAAGGCCCTTTGGATCTCAGACTAACTCTAGGTGAAACGAGTTGAAAATGGACACTGTTCTGTTTGTTTAGTCCTCTTTATATCAGAGTTTTAAGAGCTGTATATTGTAATTTCTCATGATACAGGTCTCTCCCCTCATATAGACACAACCTTATGCATAATGGTTAAACTAGGAGTATAACATACACACATGGACACACATCTAACTGCCTTATACTGAATCAGACCATTGGTCCATCAAGGTCCGTATGGACAGCAAGTCTCCAGAGCTTGAGTTAGATGTCTTTCCCATGACCTACTACTTGGTTTAAAAAAAAAAACACACAACCTGGAGATGTTGGGGATTGAATTTGGGGATTGAACCTTCTGCCTGCCAGGCAGACGCTCTACCACTGAGCCAAGTCCCTCTACCACTTCCCAAGTCTCCACTCAGCCATAAAGTTCAGTTGGCAACCTTGGGCTAGCTACATTCTCTTAGCCTAGCCTGTTTCACAGGATTGTTGCAAGGATGAAATGGGAAAGGGATAGCCATGTAAGCCACCCTGAGCTTCACGGAGAAAGGCCGAGATGAGAATGCATCAGACAGACTTGGGTAGGGGACCATTCCAGAGTATTACTATGGCAGAGGAGATAGAGGCATCGCCAAATTAACTGTGTCTTATCACTCCATGTAAGCCTACGTGAGGATCTTTCTGGACTGAAAGGTCAAGTAGACATCAAGTAAACAAGTGCGTCCAATGAGACTTCAGACACACAGATGTCCTGGAAAAGACATGTGTTTCTTACAGCATAGCAACCCAAATCCCTAAATGTGCACTTCACTCTCAGTGATTGTACAATTCAATATTTTGTTTGGGGAGGGGGTTTGGAGTAAGAGTACCCCAATGGGGATACAGATATTTATCACCATTAGCACAATGGATTGAACCGGATATCTATCCCTCAGCTGTACATTTGCCCCACCCCTCAACAAATCTGGGTACCACTTGCTTCCCTCCTTCACATTCCAGGGCCCCACCAAGTCCCACAAACTGACTCCTCCCCAAGGCAACTCCAACTTCCTAAACAACACATAACAGTCTTAGCTTACACAGAATTTTATTGCAACTGCCTTCAACTGTTCCCAGGAAGGGTCATTACAGGCAGTTGAAGGGGAGGGGGGGATTGTTTATGCATTTTCTGGTAAAGTATTCAACAAATGTCTTACTAACATCATGGAAAGCTAATGTTTCATGCCTCTCTGAGGGCAGGCTCTTTTCGTAAAACAGTGTTATAATAGCATATAAGTAAATCTTTTCCTCCATTAACAGCGCAGAGTGTGGGTGTGAGAGATTGGGCTCAAACAGAGCCCTGTAAACACGTTCTGGTATTCATCCTTCCTCCACACACATACACACACACAAACATACACAGATTTTAAAAGTGTGGGGAGGGTTTTTTATTACCTTCACCCTTCCTCCGGGGTTTTTTCAGAGCCCATGCTCACCACGCACTCAATAAACTTACTTAGGGGAAACAGCTGCTGGCTGTCAGTAGCTTTCTCCTGCTTTAAAATGGCTGCCACGGATGGTGAAAGCCGTGATGATGGCCACCACGCATGGATTCCGTTGATTGCTTACAGATCCACCAGCATCTCATGGTACAAAACAGCCGTTGCTTTGTACATATGGTACGGCAGTTGCTTCATGGCTTAACACCCAGTAGACCTATTGCATATTTAGTGCTGCCATGTTGAATTGGAAAAGATAGGCCCCGGGATGTTCTCCAGACCCTAGCCTCAAGGGCGAGTTGCCGGATCGTGAAATACAGCAGAGCTAGAGCTGGCAGGGGATCAGTTTCCCCCACTGCCTTCATATATTCTACCAGTCATAACAACTAATCCCTCGCTTGTTGAAAAGCGGGGAGGGTATTCATAATGGAATAGACTAGAAGGACTTAGTGTTGCCAGACCCCTCGGTGCAGGTGGGGGTCTCCCAGTTTCAGGTGCTTCTTCCCTCCCCCCCCCCCAATCACCCCCTTGTACTGGCAGGAACCTGGAAATCATTGCGATGTGCCTATGGAAACCGGAAGTGATGTAGGCATGTCAGGGAGGTGACAGTCTGGTTTTGGGGCAAAACTCTATGATTTGAAGTGAAATCTGCCATAGAGTTTTGCCCAGAAACCAGAGCGTCCCACCACCACCACCACGATGTCCCTGACGTGCCTGTGTCACTTCTGGTTTACATAGGCATGTCGCGACACTCCTCCCCACTCCCGGAAAGTCCCTCCCCCATGACGGTGTGACGATCAGATCTGGCAAGCCTAGAAGGGGTTTCCGTTTTTTCTGTGATACTAAAGAATGCACTGGCCGCGGTGGCTCAGAGGTTAAGACGTTGAGCTGCAGACCAGAAGGTCTATAGTTTGGCAGTTCGAGACCCGAGTGCCGCATGACAGAGTGAGCTCCCATCTCTGGCCCCAGCTCCTGCCAACCTAGCAGTTCGAAAGCAAGAAATTGCAAGTAGATAAATAGGTACCACTTCGGTGGGAAGGTAACAGCGTTCCATGCGCCTTGGTGTTTAGTCATGCCGGCCACATGACCATGGAAACGTCTTCGGACAGCGCTGGCTCTTCGGCTTTGAAACGGAGATGAGCACTGCCCTCTAGAGTCAGATTCGACTGGCTTTCAAGCAAGGGAAGCCTTTACCTTTAAAGAATGCAGCCGTGCACTTCTGTAAGACAGAAACAAAACATAGAAACTGATTTCAAAATTAGTCTTTTTGTGTGCACAAAATGAATCCTGTACGGATGGAGTTGGAGGAATCTGATCGCCCCTAATGTTTATACATAAAATGTAGAGCATTTGTACATATCTATATATCTAATACTGAGCCTGGCCCCAGAGTGTAGGTCAAAACCTCCACGCAGTAGAGCCAGGGACAGATGGGAGATGTTCCTGCAAACCTGGGGGAGCCTGAGGAAATGCTTCTGCAAACCTGGAGGAACCCCTTAGTTTTACAGGAAAGTATTAATTTAAAAAAATAGAGGGGGTTTAAAACATTTTTTGAACATGTGATCTTGCAAGATTTTCTCACGAGGCCTCGACAGCCATTTTGCATTGCCTGAGCAGTTGTGGTTGTCTAGGTAATCCGTAATGGCTGCCTGTTAAACTTGGAAACGGAGGTGGTTGGGGGTGGTGGAGAAGTGGCCTGGCAGAAAACTTAAGGAGGGTGGGGAAAATGAAGCTAGGATAGTGGGAGTAAGGGGGGGGGGAAACGAGCAAAATAAAAGGAAATCAGAGTTGGAGGTGGGGAAGGAAGGAAGGAAAGAAAGGGGAGAAACCACAAGGGGGTTGGAAGTACCAGAGGTTAAAGAGGCAGACTGGAAAACTGTGAAAGGTAGGTGGAGGGGGAAACATAAATAGAGAAGCTGCACGGGTTGTGGTGGGAGAGAAAGGAGATAGTGTGCGGAGAAGGACCAGAGGACAGGGGATGAGATTCCCCCCATAAGGCCTTGAGAGTCCCTTACTTGATAATGCGTGACACTGATTTATTGATTCACAAATAGCACAGAAAAAAATTGGTGCATTTTACAGGGGGAAAACAGTACAAGGAAGTAGAAAATAGCGCAGAAGTAAAGAATCTAGTGTTTGATTCACATGAGAGAAATAAATCCAAATAAAGGGATTTTCTGGTTGAGACTGCACAGGTGAGAAATTCTCAGTTGCTGGTATCACTATTGAGGTTCCCTGTTCAAGCCTTGATGTCTTTTAAAGGTGGTTGCAACACATAAATGGAGGATTGATTACATGGAGGGCACACAGTTAATTTTCAAAACAAAGAAACATGAATCAGTCCAAGACTTTCGACCTTAGCTATCCAACAGAGCAGGATGAGCCATGTAGGCCGCAATTTGTCTCCATCGCCTAGCACATGTGCATGTGTTGATAGCAAGTTGAAGAGAGCCTCCTTCTAGGAATCAAGCAGAACCTTCTCCTTCCTGTCCTTTCCGTCACCGATCTGGGGGAGCTACCGCTGTGCTCACATTCTCCATCAAGGCCAGGCAGTTTACCTCAAGGACAAGACCTCCGAGTCCTGAATGTCACAGAAGAGACCTGTCAACTAGTTGTTTGATGGACTGCTGGATGGTCAGAAAGGGTAGAGGAGGACATGATGCCTTTATTTAGGGGTAGTCAAAGTAAAGCCTCGGTATTCCCTGTGGTCAGACAGTGCTACTGTACAGTAAATCTGGAACGACAGTCTTGTACATGATTCACAGATGATGGCAACAGCTCATGTGGATTAATGGATAGTTTGTTGGGCTGGAATGAGGGAGACTTTATTTATTTCATCTCACAGTTGGAAGGAACCACCAGGGTCATCTAGTCCAACTCTCTGCCCTCGCAGGAACGACATATATGATGTCCCTGACAAATAGGTATCCAGTCGATACTTACAAACCTCAATGACAAAGAATCCACCACCTCACAAGTGAGACTGCTCCAATGTCAACCACACCACACTTTTAGGAAATTCTTCCTGAAATTTAAACAGAACCTCCTTGGCTGTAGTTCATATCCATGAGTCCGACTCCTGTCATCCAACACAACTGAGAACATACAGAACTTGACTATGATGCTCTCAGAAAATCCGGATCCAGTCTTTCCAAGCCTAACCTGTTTCACAGGGGGGTCTTGAGGAGAAAACTGGTGACCCCGTGTACATCATCTAAAACTCCACATGTGGTTAACAAAATGTCATGATTTTGTCATATATCATTTTGGGGTGACTTGGCATATTCGTCTTCTTATCCTTTCCCCCCCCACCACCACCATCCTTAACTGCAGGTGCTGATAAAAGTGTTGGACAATAACGATAATGGTCCAGAATTTTCCCATCCGAGTTACGATGTAACGATTTCCGAAGACATCCTCCCGGATACCGAGATACTGCAAGTGGAAGCCATTGACAGAGACGAGAAACATAAGCTCAGCTACATCATCCACAGCAGCATCGACTCAGTCAGCATGAGGAAGTTTAGAATGGATCCCAATACAGGAGTGCTGTACACTGCCGAGCGTTTAGACCACGAAGCTCAAGATAAGCACATCCTGAATGTAATGGTAAGAGCGGAATATTAACTCCGTGCTCTGGCGCCGCGGGTGCCTTTTATGGGTGACTGTATTCCCTAGTCTTCTGATAAGCAAATAGGCTTTAAAATTTAGCAAGTAAGTAGTAATTAATTTTCTTCCTTGTGCTCTGGACCATTTATTTTTCTTTATATGTTCATTCATTAATTTATTGCCGCGGCTTTGGGAAGTGTACCACAAAAGGCGTGTTTTTTTTTTAATCTTGCAAAGCGGTTTTTGCCATCTTGAGGGAGAACACGGGAACAGTGTTACAATCTCTCCGTGCCCTCCTCTTCTTTTTTAATCGGAGGTGATTTCTTAAAGAATTTTTAAAAGAAGAAGTTTTAAAGTACTTCAGGAAGCCGCTAAACAGGGCGATTATCTCTTCTTTGCCACGCTCAGCTCTTGAAAGCAAAGCAGACTGGTTTATCGTGTGCTCCTGCAGGTAGGAGATACTGGTTTGTATGCCTAAATTACGGAGCAGAAATTGTTCCGCAGTGAAGTGGGTGCTGAATGTTAAGGAACAGGAATCAGGTGTGGGATTTTTTTTTTATCTGTATAAAACTTGTCTTAAATTTCATCTAGGGTGCAAAAGCTCCTGAGAAATTGTGCTAAAGTCTTTTCTCTTCCTTCAGAGTTCCTTCCATTCCTCACTCAAGTGGGAACCCATGGATTCTTCCGAAATAGTGCTTTTGGCAAAACCGTTTCCGTGCTTTCACATAAACTTCACTCTCATGTGTCCCGTCCAGGTTCGTGACCAGGAGTTTCCTTATCGCCGGAACTTGGCCAGGGTCCTTGTCAACGTGGAGGATTCCAATGATCACAGCCCCTACTTTACCAGCCCTTTGTACGAAGCCTCCGTGTTTGAGTCAGCGGCCATTGGGTCTGCAGTTTTACAGGTCACGGCACTGGACAAAGATAAAGGAGAAAACGCAGAACTGATCTACTCAATAGAATCAGGTTGGCATGCGAGGACTAAAACGCCGTGCTGTAGAGCCCCATACAAGACACTGCATGATGTAATTCCCTGACAGAGTCAGAAGCCAGAGAAGCGCAATCAAAAAGACAGCGAGGAAGACAGAAGTGTGCTCAAGTCCCATAAAAATCAATGGAGATTTAAGCACCTAATTTGACCTAATATTGGCTTCGTTGGCCTTTACATTTGTCTTCTAGATGACACATGACTTAAAGAACAGGAGCGTTTATTGGCTGTATACAGGGGTCATTTCATAAAAAAGAGGTGCAGGAGCTCATTTGCATAACTCATTAGCATAACTTATTTGCATATACCACACACCCTGACTATGGGCAGGCATGCAAGCATGCCTGGGTTCCCTGCCAGCCGCGGGGCACCTGGAAGATCGGGCAGGGAACCCAGGCATGTTTAAAATGTCTTTCTTTCCCTTCCCCAGATGCGGCGGGCTGGCTGGGGAAGCAAAGGGCAGGCAGGCAAGCATGCCTGGGTTCCCTGCTCCTGGGCTTGTTACTCCCGGAGCGCCGCTCCTGCCCGTTCCCACTTGAAATGACCCCTGACTGTATATTTTGCTTCCCAAAATGGTGTCAGTTATTTGGGGAGCAATGCTAAAAACACTGCAGACTACTTCTTAGTTGCATTTTCCTCCTTTTGTTTAAAAAAACCCACAGAATTGGTCCCAAAGTCCTTGAGTAAACACAAAGTGTGGCATTGTTTATATCTTCCCACTCGTGCCCACATGCTTAATTCCTCTGTGTGAGGTCTTGGCCCCCATGTTCTACTTGCCACATGCACACGGAGAGTTTTGTGTGTTCATATGAGTAAAATCATGCACATTTGTCTGATAATGCACCGTCTGGTATGGATCATGTATTAACAAGTGTATACACATAGTCTGAGTGGCAGCTGCCTAGGCAGGGCAAACATGGCCCATTGTACGTTTATCCAGTTTGCTAAATGTGTGCTTAGCTTTCTTGTGATGTCGGAAGGGCTTATCTATTTATTCATTTTATTTATTTATTCAAATCTATATTCCGGCCTCCCCGCAAGCGGACTCAGGGCAGATTGCAAACACAATATCTAAAACATATCAAAATTTCAATACATATAAAATATAGGTATAAGACAAGACAGTTTAAAACAGCATCAATTAAATCAGGAGGCACTATTTATCCTTATACAGAGATTTCCAGCTGGCGCCATTGGTCTCTGGATCTTCTTAGCCTGGGCCATGTGGAGATGGTGGCTTCAGCAGGGGAGGCCGAGGGTTTACTGGACACCTGCCCCCCCCCCCCGGAGTGGAGGTCCTTGTGCACGCTGCAGGCCCTGTAGAATGGTAACAAGTCCCGTAGGGCCCTGATCTCAAGCAGAAAATGCCCTCGCCCTGGTCAAGGCTAAGCAGACGTCCCTTGGGCCACAGACCACCAGCAGGTCTTGATCCGCGGAGCACAAAGCTCTCCAGGGCACATATGGGGAGAGGGGTACTCATGTCTGAGGCCACATACTCATGTCTGAGGCTGTGTTCAGGGTAGAACATAAGAAGAGGTCTTCTGGATCAGGCCACTGGAGCATCTTGTTTCACACAGTGGCCAACCAGATGATCCCAGCAGGCCTACGAGCTTGGCACAATGGTCAAAACCTTCCCACGTTCTGTCCTTCATGCACTGATGTCCAGAGTGTACTGTCTTTGAACATTGAGGTTCCTTTGAGACATTGCCGTGGATATAGCTATTCTCCATAAGTCTGTCTGGTCCCATCTAAAAGCCAGCTAAAGTAGTGGCCATCTCTATATCCTGCAGCAATTAATTTACTCTTTGAATGAAAAAGTATACATCCTCTCATCCTCCTGCTGCATCTTACTAGATTTCCGTTTCACCCCTCAGTTTTCCAGTACAGTCACAGGTTTCTCATACGTACATGCTGCTACTTGTTAGAATTGCAGGCTTGTTTTTGTTTGTGCATAATCCATGTGCTCCCAATTCAATAATGTATCAGGGTGCTGACAAAGGGAGATGCCATGGGCCAGTGATATTTATTTATTTATTTATTGTTTCTATTTGTATCCCGCCTTGCCGGACACGCTTGCTCAAGGCGGCTAACAAGATAGGGCATCTGCTTTGCATACAGAAGGTCCCAGGCATCCCCAGTTAAAAACATAAGCAGAGTCCTGCTGGATCAGACCAATGGTCCATCTAATCCAGCATCCTGTCTCACACAGTGGCCAGGAAGTTCCTCTGGATGAACAACAGCAGGGCATAGAGGCTGAGGCCTTCAGAAGAAGAGGGGCCCTGCAGGATCATACCAATGGTCCATCTAGTCCAGCATCCTGTCTCACACAGGGGCCAACCAGTTCCTCTGGAGGGCCAACAACAGGGTGTTGAGGCCGAGGCCTTCCCCTGATGTTGCCTCCTGGTTCTGTGATTCAGAGGATAAGTCTCTCTGAACGTGGAGGTTCCCCTCAGTCTCCATGGCTAGTAGCCATTGACAGATTCACCCTCCATGAATCTATCTAACCCCCCTTTAAAGCTGTTTATAAATGAAAAGGATCATGTACTAGGTGATGTGAAAGATCTCTGCTTGAGACCCTGGACAGGTGCTGCTAGTCAGAGATGAGGTAATTAGCAAAATGGCTGTGTTGAATCAGATGCATGGCAGCAAACCATATCTAGGAATCTGGGTTTCTGCAGTACAGCTGCAGTACAGAGGTCAAGAGTAGGGTTGCCAGGTTGTAACTGGCAGCCGGCAGGGGGAATCCAGGCTCCTTCCCGGGATCCTCTGCCATGCGTCCTTTGCGTGCACAGCGTAGTGACATCCCCCAGAAGTGATGTCATCACAATGCTGCCATTGGTGAGGTGATGCTTTGGGTTTTGGCCAAAACTCTATGGTTTGTAGACTGTTTTACCATACACGACATCGACAATATGATGACATCACTTCCGTGTGACATCATCACGTCTCCTTTTGGGCCAGTTGGGGGTGGGATGTCCCCCCACTGGCCAGTTGGCCAGGCAGGGAAGCACCCCCCCAGAAGTGGGGGTTCCCTTGCCTCCAGCAGGGGGTCTGGCAACCCTAGTCAAGAGTGGAGTGCTTTAAATATTCCCTGCCTGCCTCTTCTCACCTGCGGTTCTTAGTCTCCAGTCTCTTTTAAAATGGAACCCCCAGATGGAGGAAAGTGCAACTTGGGGGAGGGGACCACAGGTGAAAAGTGGCACACGGGGAAAGGGTTAAGCATCCCCTTCTTGCCAGCTAATTTTCCAGTGAAAACCTATCTCTTTCACTTTTGCCCTTTTGGATCTGCCCCCAGATATGCAGTCCAGCCCTATGGTGGCAGGAGGTTCTGCTGCAGTAGCATAAATTCAACATTAGGGGAGGAAGTATTACAGCTCCAATAACGAAGGAGGTGAGATGGGGCCATGACCAGGAAGTGGAACAGCATGAGGCTTCTGTCCAGACTGATTCTACAAAAGCTTGAAACCCGTTAATGAGACTTTTATCTCCTCATGACCGCCTCTGGTTTCTTTTCCATCCATCTCTCTGCCTGCAATTTGAGGCTTCAAGCTTCTGTTTCAGATAAAGCTGCAAATGCCCCCTGTTCCATTATCCACACCAGTGCCTCTAGTTGCAGCATAATACAGCTTTCACAGGCTGTAGTTCCTGTGACCCCTGAAAGAATGTGCAGCCAGGATGTTAATTTTAACCGATGGATTCAGCTTATATACAAGGTTCCTTACTTTGCAGGAAATTCAGCTAGAGCATCCACAGCACTGAAAAACAGAAACCAATCATCTCATGCTTTAATAATATCCGATTTGGGGAAAAGGGCCCATCTGTGATGAGCACATGGCCAACACACAGATGTTCCATTTCAAAAAATACCTCACTGGTGATCGAGAGGCAATGTTGACTCACATGTAAGGTGTTTCCAACATGGTCCAGGTGTGAAACAGTTCTCTGCAGAGGTCAATTCAGGGGGGATCGCGGGGGATCGCAGTTCCCCCAGGTGAGGTGCAGGGGGCGGGGCACACGACGAAGCCCCGCCCCTTCTTCCGGCCGCCCCCTGCTTCCAGCCTCATTCTGTTGCAGAAGGAGGAAGAAGCAGGAGGGTAAGTTGGCGTCCTCCCCCTCTGCCAGGCCGAGGCCACTCCACGTGGCCTCCGCAAGGACTCCCAGCCCCATCCAGGAGCTTCCCCGAGGTAGCTGTGTTAGTCTGTTGCTGCAAAATAGTCCAAGAGTTCAAATAGCACCTTTAAGACTAACAAATAGCACCTTTAAGACTAACCTTTAAGACTAAGACTAACTGAGTGGTGGGTGTGGCCTTATGACACACTTCCGGTGATGGCAGGGGGCGTGGCCTTATGACACACTTCCGGTGATAAACAAATATAAGGTCAACAATCGTGTTAGTCTGACCCGCAATCAACAGTCATACGACTTATAAGAATTGCTGTACCTTGGTTTATATTCTATTAAGTTGTGTATCATATTGTAATGCTTCAGAGCACAATACATGTACAGCAATTCTTATAAGTCGTATGACTGTTGATTGCGGGTCAGACTAACACGACTGTTGACCTTATATTTGTTTATCTGTTTTAGTCGTGTGTGTCCAGATTTTTTTTACACTTCCGGTGATGTCAGGGGGTGTGGCATATGCTAATGAGTTATGCTCATAAGTTCCCCTAGCTCTTTTTCTATGAAACGACCCCTGGTTCTCTGTCATCCAGGAACTCAGCCCTTAATGTGAAGGAGCATGGAATCCAGAGCTACACATCATAAGCAACACAGGCCTGCTACTGAAAATGGCAACCCTGTGTTGAGTTCTCGCCTCTTTTCCTCTGTAACAGTTACACAGTCACACTGACCTCATCACCAGGCAGCAGACAACGTTATGCAGTGAGGACAGAGGAACACACTGTGTGATGATGGCAGGATGTGGGATAAGTTTTACCGCCCTTTATGGAGGTGGAGAATTCAACATAATGCTGCTGTTTTCAGTGGCAGCTCTGTGTTCCTTGTAACTGTAATCCCATCTTCATTGTATGCTTTTGATGGGAAAAGCCAATCAATAAATCCTAATTATTTTGTTCTTCATGTAGCCAACCATACAAGACTATTTGTGTCCTCTCCAAATACTGATTCAACTTGATTTGTCCCTATCTATTCAGATCAAAAAACAAATATTGCTGCCACGAGTTTCTGTTCTCTCTCTCTCTATTACCCCTATTGTGTGTGTATAAGTTTTTTTTTAAACTCCCACATTCATACTTCACATACTGTCCAGTTGAGGCATTGAATCAGTATTTTGAAATGATTCATAATCATCCTCGTGGTTTGATCGTGTACTGAATCATTTAGTGGCTAGTTTCTCATGGCTATTTTGTCCATATTCCATAATCCTAAATTGGTTAACTTGGATTTAAATCTCGTTGCTGTCTGCAGAATACCCTTTGTAATAAAGCTGTGCAGCATCACAGCCTTAGCTACATAGTTCTTTGACAAGCAAGCTCCAGAGTTTAGCCATTGTCTTCTACATATGCGCTGGGGAGTGATCCCCTGTTTGAAGTTGATGGCACAATACCAAGTCTACTGCGCAAGAATTGCTTTATGGTTTTGCTTTGTGCCTGCCCTATGAAACTGAAACCGTTGTGACTCGTCTCCGAGGAACACTGGGAGTTGTAGCTCTGTGAGCAGAGTTGGGGCATGTAACACAATTCTCAGAACTTTCTTTAAGCTTCAATTTCCATGGTTCTTCAGGGAAAGCCATGGCTATTGAATGCATTTTGAAACTGACTCATGACATCTGTCACTAATAGAACTTTTTAACAGTTTCCATGTAGCCATTTGGTTTTTAAAAAGTTGAATCATATAACTTGTGCCATATATTTATGTGGATTAATTTACTGCCTGTGAATGGATCTTAAAAGATTATTTTCAACTCTATAGTTATTTGTTTCTGCAGATATCCCACCCATTCTGCAGGGAATTCTAAGCAACTTGTATGGGGATACTAGACAATTTCCTTTCCAGGCACTATGTGGGTCAAGTTCTAGTTAGCTGTGGTCCGCCAAGCCTTCTCATATATTGTGGTCCACCAAATGCGTCTTGAAGTTCCTGGTTTTGCTGCCTCCCTAAGGACTGCAAAATGGGTGGTTAGGTTGACATTTACCTTGAGGTCCACAATGTAAGTCTGGTGATCTGTCTCCAACTTAGCGGATCACAAGTCGTGCATCATGTGTCCCTGGACCAGTCTACAGACCCCCGTATTATAGTTTGACTGCATTTTTAAATTTCACCTTTAACATGCCTTCCTGTTTTGCTGTTTCAGGGAACACTGGAAATACGTTCAAGATTGAACCAGTTCTTGGCATCATCACAGTGCTGAAGGAACCAGATCTGACCACGATGGGCCAATTTGTTCTATCAGTCAAAGTGACTGACCAGGGTTCCCCACCGCTGTCAGCCACAGCAATAGTCCGCATATCTGTAACCATGTCAGACAACTCTCACCCCAAATTCATGCACAAGGAATGGCAAGCTGAAGTGAATGAAAATGTTGACTATGGAACTTCAGTCATCATGGTCTCTGCAATCAGCCAGTCCACACTAGTTTATGAGGTCAAGGACGGTAACATCGATGGAGCCTTTGTGATAAACCCTTACTCGGGAGTCATCACTACTCAAAAGCCACTTGATTATGAGCGCATGTCTTCTTACCAGCTCACCGTGCAAGCCATGAACATGGCGGGAATGGCATCAAATGTCACTGTGAACATCCAGGTTGTCGATGAAAATGACAACCCTCCTGTCTTTCTCTCCTCGCAGTATATGGGCACCATCAGTGAAGCTGCTCCAGTAAACAGCATCGTCCGGAGTTTAGGAAATAATCCCCTTGTGATACGAGCCACAGATGCTGACAGCAATCAGAATGCCTTGCTTGTTTACCAGATTGTTGAGTCCACTGCTAAGAAGTATTTCACGGTAGACTCCAGCACAGGTGCCATTAGGACCATTGCTGACTTAGATCATGAAACTATCGCTCATTTCCATTTTCACGTTCACGTTCGAGACAGTGGCAGCCCACAGCTCACTGCTGAAAGTCCAGTTGAGGTTACTATTGATGTAACAGATGTCAATGATAACCCTCCAGTTTTCAGTCAGGCTATGTTTGAGACCGTCTTACTTCTACCAACTTACATTGGGGTTGAGGTTCTCAAAGTCAAGGCTGCCGACCCAGATTCAGAAGTCCCTCCTGAAATGACTTATAGCCTGATTGAAGGTAACATGGAACACTTTGTAATTGATTCTACTTCCGGGGTACTGACTATAAAAAACAATAGCCTTTCCAAAGACCATTATATGCTCATAGCAAAAGTGTCTGATGGGAAGTTCTACAGTACTACTGTAGTGACCATAATGGTCAAAGAAGCCATGGACAGTGGACTCCACTTTACCCAAAGCCTTTATTCCACATCCATCTCAGAAAACAGCACCAATATCACACAAGTAGCAGTGGTCAATGCTGTTGGAAACCGCCTTAATGAGCCCTTGAAGTATAGCATATTAAACCCAGGGAACAAATTCAAGATCAAACCCACCTTGGGTGTCATTCAAACTACCGGCATCCCATTTGACAGAGAAGAACAGGAATTATATGAGCTGGTAGTAGAGGCTAGCCGTGAACTGGACCACCTACGGGTTGCCAGGGTGGTTGTCAGAGTTCACATTGAAGACATCAATGACAATGCCCCTGTGTTTATAGGGCTTCCATATTATGCTGCCGTACAAGTTGAGGCTGATCCAGGGACCCTGATATACCGAGTGACGGCCATTGATAAAGATAAGGGTGCAAACGGTGATGTATCTTACCTGCTGAAGGAGGACTATGGGCACTTTGAAATCGACAGGCGTACTGGCAGTGTCACCTTAAAAGCAGCCTTTAACTCTGACTTATCTAACATAGAGTATTTAATTATCGTCATTGCTAAAGATGGAGGCAATCCATCACTGTCTGCTTCTGTAGAATTGCCTATTACAATAGTTAACAAAGCGATGCCTGTTTTTGACAAGCCCTTCTATACAGCCTCTGTAAATGAAGACATAGAAATGCATACCCCAGTCCTAAGCATCAATGCCACCAGCCCAGAAGGCCAAGGGATCATTTATATCATTGTCGACGGAGATCCCTATAATCAGTTCAACATTGATTTTGATACCGGAGTCCTCAGCGTCATTAGCCCATTAGATTATGAAGTCAACCCTATTTTCAAGCTCACGGTGAGAGCCAGCGATGCCCTCACTGGTGCCCGAGCTGAGGTCACAGTGGACTTAATTATTAATGATGTCAATGACAACGCTCCCATCTTTGACCACTTTGCATATAATGCCACCTTGACGGAAGCTTCTTTGATCGGCACTCCCGTCCTGCATGTTGTTGCCACGGATGCAGATTCTGAGAATAACAAAATCATTCAATATCAAATAGTTCAGGACACTTTCAACAGCACAGATTATTTTCACATAGATGGCACAAGTGGGCTGATCCTAACAGCCCGCTTACTGGACCACGAAGTGATGCAGCAATGCAGTTTGAAAGTCAGGGCAACGGATAATGGATTCCCACCCCTGAGCAGTGAAGTTTTAGTCAGCATTTTTGTGACTGACATGAATGACAACCCTCCAGTTTTCAACCAGTTGATATATGAATCATATGTCAGTGAGCTAGCTCCGCGGGGTCATTTTGTGACTTGCGTCCAAGCCTCTGACGCAGACAGCTCTGATTTTGACCGATTGGAGTACAGTATCTTGTCTGGAAATGACCGTACAAGTTTTGTAATGGACAGTAAGAGTGGAGTGATCACCCTCTCTAACCATCGGAAGCAGAGAATGGAAACTATGTACAGTTTGAATGTCTCCGTCTCTGATGGTTTGTTCACAAGCACAGCCCAGGTTCATATCTACATTCTCGGAGCTAATTTATACAGTCCTGTCTTCACGCAGAGTATTTATGTGGCAGAGGTTCGAGAAAATGCACCCCCTGGAACCAAAGTAATCCACGTAAAAGCAACTGATGGAGATTCAGGCATATATGGGCAAATAAGCTACTCAATTATGAATGATTTTGCCAAGGATCGCTTTTTAATTGATAACAACGGACAGATTATCACCACTGAGAAACTTGATCGGGAGATCCCTTTAGAAGGCGATATCACCATATCGTTGAGAGTCCTCGATGGTGGTGGGAGAGTGACCTTCTGTACTGTGCATGTCATTGTGGTGGATGAGAACGACAATGCCCCCCAGTTTATGACAGTGGAATACAGGGCAAGTGTCAAAGCAGACGTTGGGCGAGGTCACCTGGTCACTCAAGTGCAAGCGGTCGACTTAGATGATGGTGCAAATGCACGGATTGCCTATTCATTATACAGTGAAGCCTCAGTTTCCGTCGCAGATCTGCTGGAAATTGATCCAGACAACGGGTGGATGGTCACCAAGGGGAATTTTAACCAGCTAAAAAACACAGTGCTCTCCTTCTTTGTCAAAGCTGTTGATGGGGGCATTCCTGTAAGGCATTCCCTTATCCCTGTGTACATCCATGTGTTACCTCCCGAAACTATCTTGCCTTCGTTTTCCCAGCCGCAATATTCCTTCACAGTGTCAGAAGACACACTGATAGGCAGTACTATTGATGTTCTGCATGTTTTGCCTAATGAAGGTGCCACCTATAGTACAGTGAATGGTGAACTGACGGAAAACAATAAGGACGGTGTTTTCCTTATAGAGCGAGATACGGGTGTCATAAAACTAGACAAGAGACTTGATCATGAAGCAACTCCTGTCTTCCACTTCAAAGTTGCAGCAACTATACAGCTGGGTAAAGTGGACGTAGTGTTAACCGTGGATGTGGACATTAAAATTTTGGACATCAATGACAACAAGCCTGTGTTTGACACAGCCAGCTACGAGGCCATCATAATGGAAGGGATGCCAGTAGGGACGAAGCTTCTCCAGGTCAAAGCAGTCGATGCGGACTGGGGGGCAAATGGTCAAGTGACATATTCTCTCTTAGCAGAATCAGAGGCTGACAGAATCACTGAGACATTCACTATCGATAGCAACAGCGGCTGGATCAGCACACTGAAAGACCTGGACCATGAGAAGAACCCAACTTTCACCTTCACAGTGGTGGCTTCAGACCTGGGAGAAGCCCTGTCCCTCTCATCGACCACCTTGATCTCTGTCACCGTGACGGACATCAACGACAACGCTCCTGTATTTGAGCACGAGGTATACCGTGGATCTGTGAAAGAGAGTGACTCACCGGGTGAAGTCGTTGCTGTTCTCAGCACGTGGGATGAGGACACATCCGATGTCAACCGTCAAGTTAGCTACCATATTACAGGTAAGATCCCTGCGGAGAGTGGAGGTCCAAAGGAGGCGAGGCAAGGCAGATAAATGGACTTGGTATGCATTGAGAGCTTGTAGGGGGAGCCGGTAAATGAGCAGGGGGGAGCTGAAAGGGAGGAAAGAAGGTAAGCAGAGAAGTAGGTAAGGGCAGACTGATAATACCTGGGTGTTTGCTGCTCAGACTGAGAAACCAGACCGGAGTCCTGGGTGAAATGCATTGGCCCATTGTTTGAGCTGGTGCCCTGCTCTCCTCTAACGATCTACACTGGTGGGTTTGATCCACAGCTGAGAGTAGAAAAGCAGTCCCCTCTTTGGGGAAATTGCATCAGGTAAGGCACTCTGAGCCATCCGTCATCTGGTGCTTCACAGTGCAGATCCACAAAACCTACTTTTTGTTCTGAGCTTCGGTTATAGGGATTCCCCCCCTGCCCCTTACCATCCGAAACAGCTAAAGGAAACGGGGAAGTGAAAGAAAACTGTATAGGTCTTTTTAATTTGCTATATTTGATACTTGGCACTGTGTTCTTCTATCGCAGTCTATAACACCTTGTGATTGATGTATCAGCATAGACCGGACTGCAGCATTGTGCATCGGGCAGAGAGAATGGGCAACATTCATTCTTCCTGATTGCTGTGGGGGGGGGGGGGGCTGTTTATAACTGCCTTGTTTTATTTAATTAAAAGCATCCTTTCAATTCCTTGATCGAAAATCTCATTGAAAACACTCATTTTGAATGCAGAGGAGATCCAGAGTGTGCTATAAACAAAGATAATAATGATACTGTACACTGTGTGGACCCTTTAGAGTGTGCTATAAACAAAGATAATAATGATACTGTACACTGTGTGGACCCTTTTAACAAACAGCTAGCAAGCAGTTCCGCCCGTGATGGATTTATTGTCTCCCCCTTAGCTGAAGACTCGTCTTAGGGTTGTGCTGAATGGTAAAATGGAAAGCAGGCCGACTGTGACACACCAGGCTAGACCCAACCTTCCTGCTATGTACTGTGGTCTGTCTGTCAGATGCTTCTCGTTTTCCAGGTCAGAAACGTAAAGGGGTTTATTGAAATCCTGGCTACCATATCTGACTGGTGGGCCAAGTTTGGCTTTGTAGATCACATGTTGTATAAGCCTGGGAGGCACAGCACCTGTTCTTGCAAGCTTGCAGGCACTGTTCCTCTGTAAAGTAAGCATGGTGTGGTAGATAGAACATTGAGAGTGGCAGGTGTGAATCCCTGCTCAATCATCAACAAAATCGTTGGCTAGTCTTGAACCCGTGCCGTTTTCTCCTAAGTCCATATAACCCCTGACTGTCTGCTATTAACAGGAAGCAATTCCCCGAAGTCTCAATGCTTTCCTAATACTTAAGATCCATTTCTGAACTAGGGATACCAAACATTGAACTGAATACCAAAACTTCACGTGCTACTTAAAGGAGTTTTAAGCTTCTCTCCCACACTGGTTGTGCATGTGTGAAAGAGAGGAATTTGCTATGAAACACGCTTGTCTCCAGTTTCTGTATCATCTGATGCCCATGCAGGAACGTTGGCTTTACAGTCACTTTCCTGCAATTTATATGTTACCTGTAAAGCGGAGGTGTTTAGTTTGATGCACATTTTCCCTCCACAGAACAGAATGCTTTGGTGAAGACTTTTATAACATTTTAACCTCTCCTAATCCCAGTGCATCATGGGCCCTGGTCACACGGGAGGTTTTGGTCCGCAAGAGGGACGGATCGGGGGCGCAGCAAATGGGTGCGATTACACCACAACATCTGGGAAGTGGTGCGCACCCGTCCCTGATCCGTCCCTTCAGGCCGAAAACGCGCATTAAAAAAACACCTAGGAAATAGTAGGACCAACCTGAAACGCCGCAGCAAGCATGGCCGTGGGATCGCTGGCGCGCCCGTCTTCAGGAGCATTCGAGGCTCCCGGCCGAACTGCTCATGCACAGCCGGCTGCCTCGCTCTCCCTTCCGTGGCTTCCCCCCCCCCTCCCCCGCGCCGGACGGCCCCCGGTGAGGAGCAGGACTGGGGCCATAGGCTAGCATTTGAGGAAGCAATAGGGGGAGAGTCTTCTCCTGCAGAGGGTGGAGGGGTGTGTGGTGATATCTGTTTATATATGTGTGCCTTCCTTTCTCCTGAGCATCTCCAAATGGAAAAAAATATTGTGTAGTTCATGACATCAATTATGTGCTAAATGAAGCAGGAGAAAATTCAGTGCCTTCCACTACAGAAGTAGATACCAAGAAAATGCAGTCCTATTTGGAAGAAAGGCCAGCTCTGCATATTATAGTTAATACAGGAAGAACTAGGGTTACCTCTTAAGGCTGGATCAGACCAGTGGTCCATCTAGTCCAGCATCCTGTCTCACACAATGGCCAACCTGTTCCTCTGGAGGTCCAGCAACAGGGCATAGAGGCTGAGGCCTTCATAAGAGCACAAGAAGAGCCTGGCTGGATCAGACCAGTGGTCCTTCTAGTCCAGCATCCTGTCTCACACGGAGGCCAACCAGTTCCTCTGGAGGGCCAACAACAGGGCATAGAGGCCGAGGCCTTCATAAGAACATAAGAAGAGCCGTGCTAGATCAGACCAGTGGTCCATCTAGTCTGGCATCCTGTCTCACGCAGTAGCCAACCAGTTCCTCTGGAGGGGCCAACAACAGGGCATGGAGGCCGAGGCCTTCATAAGAACATAAGAAGAGCCGTGCTAGATCAGACCAATGGTCCATCTAGTCCGGCATCCTGTCTCACACACAGTGGCCAACCAGTTCCTCTGGAGGGCCAACAACAGGGAATAGAGGCCGAGGCAATCATAAGAAAAGCCTTGCTGAATCAGACCAGTGGTCTATCTACTCCAGTATCCTGTCTCACACAGTGGCCAGCCAATTCCTCTGGAAGTCCAACAACAGGGCACAGAGGCCGAGGCCTTCTCCTGATGTTGCCTCCCAGAACTAATATTCAGAGGTTAGTTGCCTCTGGATGTGGAGGTTCCCTTTAGTTACCATAGCTAGCAGCCCCTGACAGACCTATCCTCCACTTTAGCAAGCACTGAATGTGTAGACATCATAAACACGTATACAGCCATGTCTGGGAACTCTGACCCAATCACGTTTCCTATGCAATGTTTAAAGGTATGTTTCTTTGGTGTTTATTTCGTTGGGGAATATATATCCACCCCTTCCATTTTAAAATGGATCCACAAGGCAGGTTTTTATGTGTGTGTAATGCCACACTTTCGATGAATGAAATCTTGGAATTAACACAGGTGTTTCCTGCAGTAATATGCGGAGCTACTCAAGTCCCACTGAAGGCAGTGGGACTTGGTTCCAAGCAAACAGATGCAGGATTTGGCTCCAGGTCTCATTTAGGTAGGGTGGTGGTGCAGCCAGCTCCAACTCTCATTTGCTGCCGATGAATTAAAATTTCCAAACATCTGTGTCATGGAGTGTGTCAGCAATCTTGAAGCACCGTCAGGCATGGATTTGCTACAGTGCACGTTCAAAGTGGTTCCGTCTTCAAGGGAGTTAATTCATTTGCAATCAGCTTTTGGAGAAGTAAAACCATATTGGGCTTGAAAGTAAAATCCTCCATGCCCATTAAGTCCAATTATTATTCTCACGCAATTAACGTTTAATTTTCTGACTGGAGGGAGGGAGGGGGAGTCCGGTTGTGACAAAAGCATTGTCTTTTGAGAGCTAGGAGTTCTGGGCCTGAGATGGCCGCACTCAGCTTCCCACTCTGATATGAATAAAGTAAAGGTAAAGGTTCCCTTGCTCGAAAGCCAGTCGAATCAGACTCTAGGGTTGTGGTGCTCATCTCTGTTTCAAAGCCGAAGAGCCAGCACTGTCCGAAGATGTTTCCGTGGTCATGTGGCCAGCATGACTAAACACCTAGGCACACGGAATGCTGTTACCTTCCCACCGAAGTGGTACCTATTTATCTACTTGCAGTTTCTTGCTTTCGAACTGCTAGGTTGGCAGGAGCTGGAACTAGAGACAGGAGCTCACTCCATCATGCGACACCCGGGTCTCGAACTGCTGAACTACTGACCTTCCACAGCCTGCAGTTCAGCTCCTACATACATACATACATAAACCTTTATTGGCATGTTAACAATCACAGAATGAGTAAAGCATCTTACCCATCTTACCCACAGCCCTTCACTATCCAAGGGTGTCTCAGAGTGGCTTACAAACTCCTTTCCCTTCCCTTCCCCACAACAGACACCCTGTGAGGTAGGTGGGGCTGAGAGAGCTCTTGACAGAAACTGCTCTTTTTCAAGAACAGCTCTTATCAGAACTACGGCTTGCCCAAGGTCATCCAGCCAGGTGCAAGTGGAGGAGTGGGGAATCAAACCCGGTTCTCCCAGATTACAGTCCACGCACTTAACCACTACACCAAACTGGCCCTGCTTAGCAGGGATAGGGTGAAATAATAATATTGATAACATTAATAATATTAATAATATTAATATTATTATTATTATTATTAATAATAATAATAATATGTTTGGGAGAGGCAGTAGATATCTCTGTGATAAGTGCTACTATGTACAGCTCAGTTCCTGAAAGAATTTTGTCATGAAGGCGTGCATCCATGTACCATAGCTGAATGTGATGTTGTGTTCCGATCCCTTCTGACCAGAGCTGCGTTCTGACATCACAAGTTGCACTCCAACTCTGATCAGGAACAAAGGCCAATTTTCTTCCATTCAAGCAGGAGGAGGGAGGAACCGGGGCATGTGGGAGCATAGCAGCAAACAGCTTTAAAAAATTGCCACCAGTATGAAGGTAAAACAACATTATATGACCGATACTCAAGGCGTATCTCTTAGCAACCTAGGAACCATCTATTAAATAACTGATTTAAGGACTTTCAAATGAAAGAGTCTACATCTGGTGAAGACTTGTGCATACATAACCTATCTACTGGTATCCCCTCGATTTACAGCCTGTGCCGTGAATGCACCAATATCAGAAGTGTCCCACCGACAGG